GGGGGAGGGAGGGAAACCATAAATCACCACGAAGAGTGTAGACCACCACGACAGGCGAGAGAAAACCACCAGGCAGGCGGGGAACTTACCGAAATAATGCTCACGGGAGCCAGGTTGGTGCTGGTGAGGTGTATACTGCCGCTGGCGTCGCCGAGGAGTAGTCGGACGGACTTATGGAGCGGGACGATTTTGGTGATTTCGGAGCTGGCGGCGAGGACTCGTTTGAGGTCTTCACAGTCGAGTGTGAGGCGCGAATAGGCCGCTATCTCGCCACTACCGAGGCCGCACAAAACACGGTCGCCTTCCGGTCGCCAGGCGAGTGAAGTGGGTTGACCTGCCTTACCGCGGAGCAGGCCCTTTCTGCACAAATTAGTTGCCACCTGCACCCGCGATTGCCGCAGCGGTGTATATCCTCGCACGTCGTCCAATGCGCTCCGCCTGTATGCCACTTCCGGCGCCGAATAGTAACCCTCAGATACCGGCATGTCTTCCAACAAACCTAACGTAGGGGCGCCCCAGTCGTCATTGTACCTGTACCACTCCATCCCCAGGGAGGGAGCTTTTTTATTATACTCCCTGTTCTTTCAAGATCGTTCCGTCAGTCCCGATGTCTTTTGGCGAGATAAAAGACATCTCAACGATGAGACGGATGCGCAGCAAGTTTTAGCCCGAGCGCTTACTTTGCGCAGAATTGCCACCCCTGCGCAATTGGATAGTTCTCGGTCACCGAGATCGAATGTGGATACTGGTTAGGTATTCGACCTAGGATCGACAGTACTAACAAAAAGTGGGAGGGCATTTTCGGAGCAGGTGATGAGTCAAATGGTCAGAGGTGGATTTTGTTTGGTGGAAGATTTAGCACGATTTCCACTTGACCAATTGGAGCAAGTGATGCGCTGTTGATTAGCATAGAGATTCTACATCATATTTGGAAGCCGTAACCAACTGGGCCTACATGGCGTCAAGATCATACATTGTCATCAACGAGGACACGTCCGGACTGGACCGGCCCGGACTGCCCTCGGTTTTTTGGCTCTGTAGGTCGCGCCGGGAATCGAACCCGGATTGGGGGATTCAAAGTCCCCAGTGCTAACCATTGCACCACGCAACCGCAAGGTTTTTCCGTCGACGACATGGGGCTTCACTGATGCAGGTAAGTTCGTTTTTGACACCGCTCTGCAATCCAAGGCGGGTCCGAGATTACGCCGATGCCAGCTGTCACAGCGGCAGCCCAATGGGGAGTCCGCGAGTCTCCAGTGCTCGGGAGCAATCCTGCTATCTAGTCCGGTCTGCCGCCAAGTTGGCCTGCGAAGCCAAGTCACGAATAAGTCCGTTTGGTGAACAAAGTCGACCGAATTTTGGATCCGAAATTGGGGAAAAAGAAGTATGAGGAGCTCAGGAGCAAGCAAGCACGGTAACATGGGGGAGGTCCTGTTGCCGTCGGTGGCGGCGGTGATATTCCCGGTGGAGGTGGACGGATGTTTGGTAGACGTGGTGGGTAGTTGTGAGCGGTGCGATTTGTTGACCTGGGATGAGGGTTGTGGTCGTTCGTTGGAGACGTCGCTGGCGGCGTTGGAGGAGGCACAGCATGATCGTGCCTTGGACCGTGCGGGTTGTTTTCCGGGTGCGACGGATGTGGAGCAGAGAGCAGTACGGTTGGCGCGGCGGACAGTTTTGATGAACAGTTTGTTCCTGATGAGGCTGCTCCCGTCGGTGGTGGTGGGGCCGCATGTGGCAGGCGTGTCCTCCTGTCAGGGGCTATTCAACCTGCTCGATGTCCTCCTCGAGCAACCGGAGGTCGAAAACCTTCTTCTCGCTTCTATACGGCAATTCCTGACCGCCACTCGAGCCGTCTGCAACGCATATCCCCACGACTGCGGGATAACCGCCCTCCCGAGAGCACAACTCGCCGGCTGGATAGAATGCTACGGCTCCTGGTCCCTTATCGCTAACTCAATGCCAACTCAACTCAAAGTCGCCCTACCAGTACCCAGCACCTTCGAGGAACTGGCCGCTTGCTACAAATACCGCAAGGTCCTTCACTATACTGGCGAAGACGGAACCGAGCACACAATCGCCCTGCCCGCCGCCACCCCCTCAGAAGACCAGTTTTTACCCCCCTCCAACTAAACAGTTGATGTCCTAAAAATGCTTACACCCATGTGCCACACACACCCATGTGCCACTCACACCCATGTGCCACTCACGCCCATGTGCCACTCACACCCATGTGCCACTCACACCCAGAGTACCACTCACCGGTTTACGAACACGTCTCGCGACGTGTTGTGGTTTACAGTTCGCGTCCGTCGCGTTCTGAGCTCCACTTGGTGGGGCAGAGTTGTGAGGCGTGTCTGAAATTGCCTTGTTCGTCCTTAAGATGTTCGTTTTTGGCGGTGCTGTCCAGTTTGCCGATCGAGGTGTAGCCGGTGTCGTAGAGGGAGCAGTAGGGCACCTGCATAAGCGCAATGCAGTCCCAGACCATGCCGTAAGTCCATTCGATGATTGGGTGCACGCGCATGAATGGGGCCTCTGTACTGGACGGCTCGAACACACCATAGCGCCGCCTGCTCACCATGGCGTCCAATGCAGCCTGTTCTAATCCGGACCCACTCGTCGCTGTCGAGGGGGGGCGCGTCGCCGTCAATTCTTTCCCCCAGGCCGTGACGTTCCCGACACCATCCTGGTCACCAGCATCCTGTTCACCGCCATGTTGTTCACCACTATCCTGGTCAGCACCGTGCGCTAGTGGCTCCGTCCCGTCTTGCGGGTCTCCCCGAGTCCGGCCTTGCATATCGGTGTTTCGTACGCCTAGCACGAAGGCGGGGTGGCCGGCACCATCACTTTGGCTGCGGACGAGGCGGTCGATCTCCTGATCCCAACGTCCTTCGGCGACGAGGAGGTCGAGGTCCCAGAGGTCGGCTTGATCGCGAACAAAGGCTTCAACAACTTCGAATTCCTCGGCGTCATGGAACCAGACTGCGCGCGGCTTATGGCGTCCGGACAACGGGCGATTCGCGGTCCGCTGTCCATGGCTATGACCATTTTGGTCATAAGTGTGTGCGGCATAAGTGTGTGCTAATGCCGCACAGTAGAGTGCGAGTACAACAGTTGCATCTTTACCACCATTAAAAGCCACCGTCACACCCTCCGGACCATACAACTTGAGCGCAGCCAACAATGAACTCACTGCAGCACGTACGTCCCGTGGCCGCAGATGCACCAGCTCATTACTCACAGTACGAACAGACTCCGTTATCCCTACCGACCCTCCAACGGATGCCTCTACAAACGAATCCAATGTGGCCCATACACCCAAACTACGTCGGTACGCCTCATCCGACCACCACTCGCCTTGCACTTCATGTCCATCTCTCAAAATCTAACACACGACCATTGACTGAATGTGAATGGGGAAGGATTTACATAGTGTGGCAAAGAGTCCGAAGTACAGGGTGAAAGTTCCGAGTGAGCGCCGATGATAACCTTACCAGAGCTTGCTGTTGATCGTCACACCGCCATCCGAACCAGCTTGTGCGCACGCATGAAGAGAGACTCGTTTGGAATAAAAAAGGCAGTAGTTTTAATTGCATAAAATTAGAACACAGGCTGGTGCATTTTACAGGTTTATGGACATTTTGGCGAGGTGTTGGCACCAGGCGATGGTCTTGGGTGGCGAGAGTGAATCGAATACCATTCCTTCAGGGTCGTGTGTATCTTTGAGGCTAGGGAACTTCTTGGCGAGTTTGTCCATCGCTTTGTGGAGCACGGCGGCGACGGCAGGTGTAGCGGTGAGGGCTGCGCCGGCGAGCGTGACGTAGATGGCAGTCGCTTTGGCGCTCCGTGCTAAGTGCGCCAGGTCGGCGGAGGTTACGCCGAATGCTCGTTTGGTGTCAATCACTTTGTTGAGGACGCTTTCGAACTCCTGGAGCGTTAACTGCGTGCAGCCGATGGCGAACAGGTCGATGCTGTCCTCGGCCGTGGTGCTCAGTCCCGTCCGACCCTTCGCTGCATCCTTACCCGCTGCCGTTCGGGCCCTACTCAACTCTTCTTCGTCTTCCCCGGGCGTCTTTACTTTTGGCTCATCGTCCTTAGTATTCAAGTGCACACGCGTGTGCGCAGCTGTTCGACCCAGGAAAGGGATGATAGTTGCGCAGGCCTCCAGCACGGCGGTGGTAATCCACTGTACATCAGATTCAATATATAGGTCCGAGCCCTTGGAGGACAGGTCCATGAGCTCCAGCGCTGCCATGACGGCGGCGAAAATAATCGCTCCCGAACGGACGTCTGCAGTCGCCATGGTTTGTACCACCTGTCGCAATTCTTCGTAAAACTCCGCAGCCAGCTCCATGTTAACGAAGGCCGCGTGCTTGCTCAGGCTCCGCAAGGCCTCATACACCACCTCTAAGGAATAAAGGTGTGGTGACCGCAAGATGCGGGCAAACATAACCATAATCGACTCTAATATATTTTTCTTGTTCGCTAAGAATTTCTTGTAGTCTCCGCTGACCAGGGACGCAGTCTGCTCATTCGCGACATTTTTCTCCACCTGTGTGCGACGATCCTTCAGCAATGACCGCTGGTCAATGCCCTTCCGCTTCAACTCGGCCACAGCATTTTTTTCTTTCTTCTGTATGTTCAGATGGTCTAGTAACCGCAACACCTTGCCGCTGCTGCTGTCTTTCCGCATCTTCAAAACCTTGTTGGAAATTAGCGGCACCAACTTGGCGCTGACGGCCAGTGTCACATCTTCCTTTAACACTTCACTTATAGCCCGAGAAAGCGCACCGTCCACGTCCACCGCGTCCGTATCCATACCGCTCGTATCCAGAGAGCCGTGGTCTTGCAAACAGTAGTAGTCGACGAGCATTTGCATAAATTCATCTCGGTAGTTAAATTGTCGCGCGTGTTCGATGCAGTTAATGAGCCCGTTATTCAACTGCACAACCAACAAGGTAGTGTACTCGTGCTTCTGGACGCCGTTGAAATACGGGTCCTTCATCACCACACCGAAGTGTTCGAGTAACCAACGGCGATACATGTCTAAGATGAGCAACTCGTGCCTGCGCACTTGCCGCTTCACCGATGCAACCGGGTCGCCTTCGGCGATGACGTACCCGGGCAGGACGTGCAACAGGATCTTACCCACGGCGGTCACGACCAACAAGTAGAGCTTCGCCAAGTCCGCCAAGTCGTTAAGGTCGGAACAGCGCCTGTAGGCCACACGGCACTCCTCCATCTTCTTAATAAAAGCCTCCAACAGGTGCAGCTTCGCCAACGGCTCCGCAATAATGGCCTGACCTATGAGTTCCAGCCCGCTGACTAGTTTCTCCACGTCCGCGCAATGGTCTTTGTAGCATTGAGCAATCGCTTCTCGCTCAGGTACGGACACCAACCCACTAACGTTCTTGAATCCCAAACGTTCCACCGCCTCTTCCCGCTTCCTCTTCTGGTCCTCACGCGCCAAACGCTTGGTCTCCATCGCATTCAACTCTTTATCTAACCGACGCTTACGTCCAGTCGCCACCTCCACCTCCGCTCCCCCCTCCGGCTCACTCCCAACCTGCCCAAAAGTCGGCAACCGTGTCTGCTCTTTCAGACGCTCCTTCCACTCCTCCTGTCCCGATTGCAATGCCACATGCCGATTTTCCGCACGCGCCAACTTGTCCTGCGTCACCAACTTGCATTTCGGCGCCACACCCGGCGCCTTCCGCAATCGCCGCCGCTCTACCGCCTCCGACTCCTCACGGTACGCGGATAACAAACGCCGACGCACACTCTCCACCTTGCCCCCTCGACGCCCCATATATTTCCCCCAAAAAATCAACTCCGCCCCTTCCACACAAATCTTGGCCCCAGACATTGAACGCACAAACTGACCGCGTACACCCATGGCGCCATGACTCTTGCGACCATTGTATGACCGCTCTCCACTACCGCTCTCCACAGCCCGTAGCTACAGTGCTGTGCTCCTCCCCCACGTTCTTCTTCCCCCCGCCAAGCGCACTTTTGGTGGATTAAGTTAGCGATAATGCCTCCGAAACAGCCGCAGGAAAAGAAGGAGCCACTGACACCTGGTAAGACCACTTCCCCTTCAGACCTTTTTCTCTTCAGTCTCGTTCCGTAGCAGCACTCTCCAGTCGCTGGTTCGCCCGGGTGCCTTTCGGAAAGCGCCCGGTGCGCCGGCCTCTTCCTCAACAGGCGTTCCCAACGGTGGTTTCCGCGTGCCTTCTTTGAGCAACTTGAGTAAGTGACAACTCCATGGTCGCACTCACATGGTCGCACTCACATGGTCGCACTCACTCACGTGGACGCACTCACATGGACGCACTCACATGGACGCACTCACTCACATGGTCGCACTCACATGGTCGCACTCACGTGTCCCCCCCTCGCCCGCGGGACCTCAAACATTGTCGCTGTAGATGCGGCTCCGAAGCGGTCAGCGGCCAAGGCAAAAGCGGGTAACTTGACGTTTGTACCGAACTTGAATCGGCCTTCTGGGTTGGCTGCGACTCCGAAGAATGTGGCCACCCCGGGAGGCGTGGGCGGTGTGAGCATCCAAACGATGTTGGCGCACAAGATCGCGATTGCATCACAAGATGGGCCGGTTGCAGCAGGCGGTCGGCGGCAATTGGGTACGGGTGCACGGATGGTGAGTTCGGCGGTTTCGAACAAGTTGGCGGACATGCGTCGTGGTAAGAAGCGTGACGCCAAGAAGTCTCGGGAAATCCTCGAGCTTAGCTGGGCTCCAGAAGACCGGATGCACGACATCTCACTCTACACACCTATCTCACTCCCGTATGTCATGCGCGGTGATGATGAAAACAAAATCGCAACCTCTCAACGACCAACCATGAAGACCGTCGATGAAGCCAATCGCAACGCGAGACCTCTACTCGAAGAAGACGCAGAAGAAGAAGTGCGCAATTGGACACTCATACAGCTACCCACCATGCTTCCCGCCATGGACAGAGAAGCCATGGAACAGCAACGCGACCAATCTGAACTCGCTCTTATGGATCCCGAAGAAAGGGAGGCCGCACTCACAGCCAAAGCAAAAATCAGACATAAAGAAACCTTCGACAACAAATACCTGCCAACCCAGCTCGCTGGACTACCCGAAGGCTACCTAGGCGACCTTCTCGTACACGAATCAGGACGTGTCACTTTACAAATAGGCAACCACTACTTCGACGTCAACACCGGCTCAGACTGCAACTTCTCCCAAGAGGTCGGATGCTACGTCGACGCCAGCTCCGAATTCTTCTTCCTTGGAAGCTGTTCGAAACGAATGATCGTCACGCCTTGTGTTGAGGAATTCGACCAAACCGCCGAACTGCGCTAACCCATTGTCGCTCAGTAAAAAGCTTCATACCTTCACTCAGTGTCCTCCTCTAGCTCTGGCGCCGCGTCCTGATACTGCTGGTACTCCGCTATGAGGTCGTTCATGTTACTCTCCGCCTCCGTGAACTCCAACTCGTCCATGCCTTCTCCAACATACCAGAACAAGAACGCTTTGCGACGGAACATGACCACGAACTGGTTCGCGACTCTGCCAAAGACCTCGTGGATCGCCGTGGAATTGCCTAGGAAAGTCGAAGACATCTTCAGACCCTTCGGAGGCACGTCGCAAATGGCCGTTTTGATATTGCAAGGGATCCAGTCCACGAAGGAAGAATCCATGCGGTTCTGGATTTTGCACATCTCGTGGTCCACGTCCTTAGTCGAAAGCCGGCCTCGGAACACCACCGAAGCCGTCAGGTAACGACCGTGGCGAGGGTCGCAAGCGCACATCATGTTCTTCGCGTCGAAGGATTGCTGAGACAACTCGGACACAGTTAGCGAGCGGTACGGCTGCGAGCCCCGGGACGTCAGCGGAGCGAATCCGATCATGAAGAAGTGCAGTCTCGGGAAGGGAATCAAGTTAACCGCCAGCTTCCGGAGGTCGGAGTTGAGCTGACCCGGGAACCTCAGGCAACACGTAACTCCAGACATCGCTGCAGACACCAAGTGATTCAAGTCACCGTACGTCGGAGTCGTCAGCTTCAGGGTTCGGAAGCAAATGTCATATAGCGCTTCATTGTCGATGGCGTGCACAAAATCCGCGTTCTCCACCAGCTGATGCACACTCAGCGTCGCGTTGTATGGCTCCACCACAGTGTCGGATACCTTCGGCGAAGGGAACACTGAAAAGGTTTCCAGCATTCGGTCCGGGTACTCTTCACGCAACTTAGCAATCAATAGAGTGCCCATACCGGAACCCGTGCCTCCACCCAAACTGTGGGTTATTTGAAAGCCCTGCAAACAGTCGCAGGCCTCAGCGTCCCGGCGCACAACGTCCAGCACGGGCTCTATCAACTCTGCACCCTCTGTGTAGTGCCCCTTAGCCCAGTTGTTGCCCGCTCCGGATTGACCAAACACAAAATTGTCTGGACGGAACAGCGCCCCATAAGGTCCGGCTCGAACGGAATCCATCGTTCCTGGCTCAAGGTCCATCAAAACAGCTCTTGGCACCCACCGACCATGCTGAGATTCTCGAAAGAAAACGTTGATCCTTTCCAGTTGAATAACGTTATCTCCACCGATGTAGTTTCCGCGTCCGTCAACGCCGTGTTCGTCAGCAATAACCTCCCAGAACTTCGCACCGATTTGATTGCCACATTGTCCTGCCTGGACCTGAATGATTTCCCTCATTCGATGATGTTCTAGCTAACTAGAAAGAAGGAAAACCGCCTACGGAGGAATTATCGGCGCGTCAGCACACGCGTGTGCTAGGAGAAATTTTGGCAGCTTTCCTTGTACAAATGCCTGGTTATTGCGATCGTTTGCATAACATCCAGATTGTTTGAGCTGTTCATCTTTTCTAGCTGATTAAACCCAGATATAACAGGATCAGTATAATCAACTGAACAAATAACGATATCAAATTAGAGTATTACCTTGAAGACGCAGTCCTTGCCTGCTTCTGTCCTTTCTGCAACCAACAGTATAATGCTCTTTACAGTTTTTTGTTGGATACACAATTATATCAATTTCCTCCGAACTATTTTCCGGAAAGTGCAGTTCGACTCCGAATATTTCCTTATAGATCATTCGCTGGTCTTCTAGTAGTCTCATTTGACGTTTCAGGTCATCTTCTACTCTATTCAACTCTACCAGAGATATCGATGAATTGTGAGTATGGATTTACCTTGTAAATGACATTCAAATTGGTGTTTAGCATATTGATGACTTTCTTGGAGTTCGCTTGTTCTTTTTAGATTACGATTTATCTCCATGTTAACAAGGCTCAAGCTTTCTAATATGCGTTGGCTGTCTTCTTCAGCACTATGAATGTTCCTCAATAAATGCCCTCGTTTATTTTCCTTTTCCGCAATTTCCTTACAGGTTCTTTCGCTCTTGGCTTCACGACCGTCTTGAATCTTGTTCAGCGCATCGTAGAACTTTTGAATCTCATCAACACTGACAATACGATCTATTTCATCCATACCGTTTTAAAAAAAAAATGGCAAACGTTAGTTGAAAAAATACTAGACTAGATCAATAGCGTAGTGTAAGTTGTTCCACTTGATCATCAAAAAAAGGAAGTCTAATAGGCATTTCGCAGTCGCAAAGTGGGTTCTTTGTTATGCAATCCGCGTATAGCTGGTATATTTGCTCCAAATATTGTCGACATTGTAGGACGCTTGGTGAAGCCAAGTCGCTTGAACAGAATAGCTGCAGCCCCGTTGGGGTTTCGTAGCAAACCATCTTGTGCCTATCGCTTTGTATCAACGTGATCCCCTGATTTTGGTGCATCAGCCCTATCAAATCGGAACGCTTCTTCAACGGGACACCGGCTTGCCCACTACCACTATACTGATCTATGTCAATCTTAGCTAGGCTAGCAGCGATGCGCGACATGCCATGAAAGGTGGAAGCTGCTATGATTACGTCATTCGACGACAATGATTTAGCTTTGGGATTGAAGTCCTGACATAAACTGCGTTTTGGGGGGGGGGGG